CCCCCCCCCTTTCCTCTTCCCCTTCCCTTACCCAGTGGTACAGTAGTTTTTATCTGTTTTAATTTCTGGATTTGGTTTTCCAGCACTGTCAAGACCAAGAGATAACATTGGTACAATACTAGTAAATAAGCATATGTTTTGAATTTTCAGTTTTTCACTTATACCCTTACTCTTATTTCAAGATTCCATCTTAAAATAAGCATTATGTTTGATTGAGTCTTCTCAGTAAGAGTTTTTCTTTTTTGATTTTCAAGCTTGTGTGTGATAAATGCAGTCCGTTATTTTGTAGAATCTCTTCCAATTTGAGTTTGAGTGTTTTCTATTTCCATAGAGGAAAAAGGTCTTGTTCTCCGTGTGTGGTGAGCTGGATCATCTCAGGCAGTGTCAGCCACTCAACCTTGGGGGCTGGGAACTGGTCTGAAGCCCTGCTCCTTTTTGTTTGATTTACTTGTTTTTACCTTATTGTATGAATGTTTTGCCTGTATGCGTGAATGTGTACCTACCTCGTGCATGCCTGTTGGATCCCCTGGAACTAGGTTTACAGATGGTTGTGAGCCACCCTCTGGATGCTGGGAATTGTACTCCTGTTCTTTACAAGACCAACATGTGTCCTCAATTGCTGAACCATTTTTCTTTTTTTTTCTTTCTTTTTTTTTTTTTTTGTTTTTTCCAGACAGCGTTTCTCTGTGTAGCCCTGGTGAACCATTTTCTAGACCCAATAAAATTTTAAATAGAAAACATAGGGATAATGTAAGAAAAAGTTAGAAGGCATACTGATTTCAGCAGTAGTACAGTTTTGTCTTTTTAAAAGATGAATGAGAGATTAGGAAAATAAGATTTCAGAGAAGACCAGAGACCACCTCAGCTCTGTACAGTGCCTTTGATATGGACTTGTGAAGGTATACTTTTAGATGGATAGATAGAATGCAGAATCAGCTAGGTAGGGTTACACTGGGGGTTACAGTGGGCCCGGCAGCCTATTGAGAGGATTGCTTATAAATCACCACTTAGCTCATTTCTGAGACCAATGGTTTTTCTTTTTTTAACAACTACATTTGCTTATGTGTATTCACGTGTGTGATATGTGTCAGACTGCCTTTGTGGAGGCAGTAAGAGGACACCTTGAGTCACTTCTTTCCATCATGTGGCAATCCAGGGATTGAACTTACACTGTTGGGCTTGGAGGCAAGTCTCTTTTCCCTCTGACCCAACTCACCAGTTGAAAACCTGCTTTTCTTATATCTGATGTCTAATAGACCCTTTCTTGGCCAGGCTTAGATTCTCTCTATTGTCAGAGAGAGAGAGAGAGAGAGAGAGAGAGAGAGAGAGAGAGAGAGAGAGAGAGA